CATGGTGGCACGTGGCTAAAAGGAAAGTTATGGCTGATACTGGTAGATCTCGCTCCTCCAAACGTCTCAAACTTGATCCTGATTTCGTTCACGAGCTATATGATGATCATTGTGAAGAAGCAGAACGCTATCTCTCTCCACCAATTCCCACAAATGAGCTCTCACCAGTCGATAGTGGTCCAGTAAAGGAGGTCAATCTTGCTTCTCTACCAGTTGAGCTGGTACAAGAGATATTCAGATTGCTGTCAATCAGAGATAAGATGTCCTTAAGACTAGTCAATAGACAGCTTTACACAGTGTGTTCTGATCCTTATTTGTGGAGAAGAGTTTTCATTGATGATGCATATGGTAAAGCGAACGGTCCATTCGTTAAATCGACTTTAAAAACATGTCAACCACATGTACAATCGCTTAGTTTAGAAGGAAAGCTACCATTTAGTCAATACCAATCAATAGTTTTCAACTGTAAAAACATTCGTAAGTTGAATTTTTACGGGTTTGAGATTAATATGGGTGCATTAAAGAAGATTCTAGTTTTCCCTACCATGACACAGGCCCCTCTCCCTCACTTGCAGTATTTGACACTCTCGATATACAGCAGACAGAGTTATGAACTTGTTGAGATGCAATTTTTGTGTTTATCACATTTAAAGAAGCTGGTCATCATTACGAATTATGATACAGCAAGTTGGCAGCAATTCAATCAGAATTGGGAGCGGAATCATTGCCTACCTCGTATATTTGTTCTTGTGAGTGATTTCATTTGTTCCGAAGATTACTCAGTTCCTAATATGTCCCAGCCTGCTTATTTTGTTTATCATACTAGATATCGTCTTATTCTGTAAGTATGCTATTTTTGAAGGGAAAGATGTTGCTCCTGGTCTGCCAGTTTACAGCAGTCAGCTTGGAAATAGTATTACTGTTCTTCATTTTGCTTTTGTATCCATATCACTTAAGATCTTCAGTTCCATTGTCAGAGAAACACTAAACATTCTAGAAGTTAGTTTACAGGGAAGTACCTTATTGGATGGTGTGGATGCCTACATGGCTCCATTATCACATCACTGTCTCAAACTGAGGGGGCTAAATGTATCAAATTTTAATCCTTATAATACATGTGGACAACATGGCATAAGGACTAACAAAGAGCATTTTTGGTGTCTTTTATCAAAAATGAAATATTTAGAACTTTTGTCCATCAGCTACTTTTTGTTACCACCTAATGTTTACTCGCCATCCCCAGGAAATAAGGCTTTACTTTTGTCAGATTCGGATAATAATACGATCGGTTATATCAAGAGTATGTCCAGACTCAAAGGTCTTCATTTATACTCAGACTATGGCATTTGTGATAAATGCTATGGGTCGAACCCCATTTTAGAATCAAAGAGAAACACAAACCATGATCGTTTGATTCATCACTTTTTGTTTACTACAATTTCAAATCTCAGATATTTGACATATTTGAGAGTTGAATTTTCGTGGCATCATTCTGGTTTGACCAATGGACTAGAAGAAGTCCTTCAGCATTGCCATCAACTCTCAGTTCTCATTATTATTAGAGCTGTGAAATTGATACTACCAGTCGATCCTTCACTGTATAATACCCTCACTCATTTTTGGCTTAATTGCAGGGATACTTTAATCACTTCTGAATTTATTGCCGCCCTGGCTATCAATAGCAGAAAGCATTTGAAGCATTTTGTTGCTGATCTACAGCCAACCAGCATCAGTATAGATATCCTGATAGAATTGATTGAGTCCTGTAGTTTTATTACTTTTCATTTCTTATATTTTCTAAAGGAATGGTATGGAGATCAGTATAAGCATTTGTCATCTATGGCTAGGAAGAGATTCCAATACTTTAGTTTTGGGGACTTGTCTTCATCAGAGATTGAAAGAGACAATACTGATTTTGAAAGCTTGCATTCATTAATGTATTGATCTCTACCATTTCAAACTTATCTATCATTGTGGACAATAAAATAATTATCATTATCAGTTATATTAAAATTATAATTGAAATAGTATAGACTTATTAATTTGGACATTGAGTAACGCCCACGCTAATAAAGGTGTGGCTTGTATGTAGGTGTGGTTCGTTTGCATGGAGAATGATTTCTTGCAGCTTCATTGTTGTTTTCTTTGCTTTGCAAGCTTCCTTTACAAAATCAGACCAGATTGAGAGGTCACTAGATGGAAAGAACTGGCAGTTATCAGATTCTGCTGGAAAAGTCTTCCAGCCACAGTCTCTGGAATAGCCTACTGTGAGTTCGACCTTTTGTTGCAATAATTGTAGAATACTTTTATAGAGCACAGAAAGTCATTTATGATCTTTATTGTAAGTGAAAGGGTCAATTCCTTCTTTTATAATTACAATATCTTGCATGCAGTTGGTGAGAAACTGAGAATGATTCAAATTTATCATGGATAGCGTATGAGACAACATTTGATTTGACTAGTGATGATGT